GATTGATTGTTCCTCCTTCTTCAGCAGAGCATCTGGTGGATTTGAAAAGCACACCTCTGGGATTGCAGTGCAGTTTCCTGCCACTAGGCCACCAGAGCTCGCCTGTATTTTTAATGCTATATCTTTCAACCCTATTCATGAGATGGTTTTGATTAATAAGTGTAGCATTTTGGTAGTTTCTGTCTCTCACGCAGAGATTTAAATCATTGGATGCTGGCAGGGTGCCATGTGAGGAACCCCTGGGGGAAGCGAGGCGGAGATACAGGGAAAGATAAAAGAAAAAGTCAGTCATCTGGTTGTGACTCCACAGCTAAAGAGAGGGTATATGGAAACATGACTTGGAGGACCGTATATGTGCATCTCTCTCTGGTGGCTTCTGTGTAAATGTTCCTTTTCTACCTGTTCCGTGCCAGGAACTGTGCCCTACGGGTAAGTGGGTAAAGGTGGCCAATTTAAATCTTCACAGAGCTCAGAGTCTGAAATGGAGATACATTGTGGCACCACAGTTAAGTGCATGGATACTATCAGAAAGGTTGGCAGTTTGAATTCACCCAATGTCTCAGGGAAGAGAGACTTGATAAACTGCTTCCACAAAGACTTGTTGTTGTTTTTGTTGTTATTGTGTGCCATCTCATCAGAACCAACGCATAGCTCACTCTCTAGTGGGTTTTCAGAGACAGTAAAATTGTATGTGGAGAGATTGCCCATCTTATTCCCAAGGAGCAGCTGGCGGATTCGAACCACATACCTTTTGGTTGGCAGTGGAAGTCCTTACCACAAAGCCACCAGAGCTACAAAGATGACAGACTAGAAAAACCCCACGGATCAGTTTTACTCTGTCATATGGTATTGTTGCTGAATTGAAATAGAGTCGGTAGTATCTACAACAATAAATATTACATTATTATAGATATAATAGAGATACACCCTGTAACATTTGGCAAGGATTTCAAGGTACCTGCCTGGTGTGAAAGAAATGGCTATTATTTAGATGCTGGTTGGTGCAGGCCTCTTCCTCACTATTTCTTCATCATCACCCCACGATGAAGGCCTGGAAGTTATTTTTCCCACTTGCTCTGTTCACCACTGCCATTACCTTTCGGGACCATAGGTGAAAGTTGAGGAGAACTTGATGCATCTGCTGCAAAAGATCACAGACCTCAGCCTTCACTATGGATCGTATCTCAAACATCAAAGTGATGAAAATCTTTTCTACTGCACCATTAGGTAACATTGTGATAGATGAAGAAAAGATTGAAATAGTCAACAGTTGATTTCTTTTACGTAGATCCACAATCAACACCCAGGCTAACAAATGACAAGAAATTAAAAAACAAAACAAAACAAAAACACCAACAAAACATATTGGGAAAAATCTGCAGTCAAGGGTCTCTCTAAAGTGCTAAAGAGCAAGGATGTCAGTTTAAAGACTAAGGTGTGTCTGATCTCGACCATATCCTTTTCAATTCTTTCCTACGCATCTGAAAGCTGGACAGTGAATAAAAATGACAGAAGAAGAATCAATCAATGCCTTTGAGCCGTGGTGTTGGAGAAGAACACTGAATATCCTATGGACTATGAAAAGAACAACCAACCCTGTCCCGGAGCTAAGGTCAGCTAGGGTACTCCTCAGAAGCAAGGATGATGAAACTTTGTCTCACACATTTAAGGCACGTTGTCAGGAAAGACCATTCCTTGGAAAGGGACATCATGCTGAGAAAAGTGGAGAACTGGTGAAATACAGGAAGACCCTTAGCAAGGTATATTGACACAGTGACTGTCTCAATGGGCTGAAGCATGTTGGAGATTGTGAGGACGTGCAAGATAGGCTCAGGTTCAGACCTGTTGTTTAGAGGGTTGCTATGACTCCTAGGTAACTTGATGGCATTGAATAAGAACCACAGATAATAAATACTATGACATCTTAGAGACCCTTTGAATATACAAAACTTTTTTGTTTTTTCTATAATTATATTTTATTAACTTTCATAAACATTTACAGAGATTTTGGGCTTCCACTCATTCATTGTTGCACTATTCTCTCTACCCTCCTCCCAGTTTGTTCTTGTCCAAATGCCACAGTGCTTGTCAAAGCCAGTTCTGATTAATCTTCTTTGTCAGTGTGTCCTTTGCCATTCCCTATCACTCCTCCCTGAGAGAGACTTCACCCTGCTTCATAAGGAAAAGGGGATGGCGTATTCTCTTAGCTACTTCCTGCTGAAAAGGGACGCTGTGGGTTTCAGGGTGAAGGTCTTCTCTCACTACTCTAAAGGGCCCCTTTGGCAGTAAGAAACACATAGACTATTATGGAGATTGATTTTGGAATTTAGATGCACTCTTATTGATTGTGCTTGGCTGTACATGTTCATATCCTTGAAGATGTATCATGGGGGTGTTGCAACCTAGAAGACACAAATTTGACTAACAAGTTATAAGTACATGAGTCCAAAAATTATGGAAAAGTAAAAGAAAAGATTCTTTCATTGTTTTACAAACCCTCCCCCAGGTCCCCTCCACCATGTAGCCCTCGCTCTAGTCTCCTGTGATGACAGAAATACCCAGTTATATCTCTCTTTTATGAATATACAAAACTTTTAAAAGCCAAAAAGTTGTTAACGCTATACGAATGGCATTCACCTGCCTCGGCAGTGATATCGACCTTGTTGAAAATGCTCTGCAGAAACCTGACAGCAGAAGAACTAGGTGATGGCCAGCAGCAGCTCCAACTGGGACCACATGGAAGGCCCTACATAGAGTGAGAAAAATGTAAACCCAAATTCAGATTCATAGCAAAGAGCCGACTTACTGGTCTGGAAGCCAAGAGTGTGGCTCTAAGCCATTCTTTAAGCTTAGGATGAACTTGCTCCCAGAGACCACCTTATAGCCAAACAACAGACAGACCTGGACAGTGAACATCCTCCTGAGTGCAGCCAACCACACAAGACCAAACTGATGGTGTTTGTCCAACAGCCAAATTCAGAACGTAGCGAATGGCAGTAAAGCTGGGAATCCAGGCTGGAAATGGCGAGAACGTTGCCACATTGAGGGGATTGCAAGCCAAATCCTGAAAACGTCTCTGTATAAATTGTTGTATGAGAAGTGAATTTGCTTTGTAAACTTTCACCTAAACAACAATAAAATGTCCCAAATAGAAAACCTCATTTCAGGATTCCTTGAAGGTAGAACAGTGCCGGGGAGGACACAGGGATTCATTGGCGAGTGGAGAGTGTTAAGATCTTGATTTGATGATCCAACTTCCTTGATCCTCCACCTGTGATTGGATGTAAGGGAACTCTGGTGGCCTCGTGGCAAGAAGCTGCACTACAGTTCCCAAGGCACACAGTTCGAGGCCACCAGCAGCTCCTTGGGAGAAGGATGAGAAGTCTCCTTCCATGTGATTAATTGCCTCTGAACACCTGCCAGAGGGCCGGCTGTGGGTCGGTTCCGACTCAACGGTCCATAACAACAACGTGTGATTTATTTAACCACTAACAACTTACATATCTACAATATGACTATAAAAGGAACAGAATCTAAGTATTCACTGTGGGGTGTAGGGCCTGAATCTGAAAGTGAAGAAAAGGGGTACACCATGCTTTCCCAACCCCCACGTCTTTCCTGAGTCCCAGGCGAGCTGACATACAGTAGCATCTGTGAAAACTGGAGTCTGTGTAAGGTGGAAACCTGAGAAGAAAACCTCAAGTATTTTCCATTAAAACAAACAGTTAAAAATTATTTCACTTCACCCCTGTCAAAGTTGGAAAACTTGAGAAACTCAGAAAAACAAAGTGCTCACTGGTTTCAATCTGTTTGCTGGGGTTTCACTGTATTCACTTCAACTCAAACCTTGTTGCTATGGAGTTGAAACTGACTCCTGGCTGACCCTCTAATGGATTTTCAGAGGCTATAAATCACCCAGAAGGAGACTGCCCGTCTTTCTTCCTCAGAACAGCTAATGAGTTCGAACTAACTGCCTTTGGATTTATAGCTCAACTCTGTCCACTAGACCACTGAACTTCTGCAAGAGAAAAATTTCTGTTTTAAGTTCTCTTTGTGTCTTCCCTATTTTAACTCTGACTTAGATGGTTCTGCATGAGCAAACACGCATGCATTGTGGCTGCATGTTTGACGTGCTCTTACTGATGAGGGTGTGACAAAATCATTTGGAAACCCACGGCCTCAGCAAGAACGTATCCTTCTAACAACAAAGTGTCTCTTAACATCAACTTGATTCATAATTAATTACTTACATCAATATAATTGTCTTTAAAAATTTTAATATTTACTCCAAAAAGAAAGACTTATTATAACACGGATTCATGTTCATAGAAGAATATTTGGGAAACAGAAAAACAGTGAGACAAAAATTAACCTCACACATAACCACAACCTATGTTAATTAAAAAGACAGGGAGGGAGGGATCTTTCACTCCTCAATTCTCTAGACAATTCTGAATCTGAATTCTTCTCCCTTCATTTATTTTCAACTTTATAGGATGCTGAAAAGTCATCCTCCACTTCAGCTGACCCCAAGTCAGTCAAAGTCAACTTCTTACCTCAGGAGACTCCAGGGGCCAGCAAAAGTCCTAAAGTCCAAACTTCCTCGGCCTCCGTGTCATGTCCAGCATCCCCTGAGCCTTCCAAGGAAGGGGCCAAGGACAGAGCAGGACCCACCTCCTTGCCTCTGGGCAAACTCTTTTGGAAAAAGGTAAGTCTTTTCAAGACACCTCGAGATTTGCGCACTATTCTTCAGGCTGAGACTATTTGTGGAATTATCACCATGCATAGAATTATTTTTTTTTCTTCTCTAAATAAAAGATCTGACTTGTATGAGGTTAAGACTTCTAATCTCACTCCCAGGAAGAATAAAATGCTTGTTGTGTTAAAAAAACATGTGTTTGGTGGGACAGAAAAAGCTTGTGGGAATTTTTTCTTTCTTGAGATGATCGTGATTCATGACACAGGATTGTAATATTGGATGATTTCATTTTCTAAGATGGGTTATGACTTATGGCTTTCTCCCTCTGGTTTCCTCTGAGAGTTTTCACCCTGTTGAGATGAACCCCCTCTGAGGTTTATATCTTATCCTCCCTCCACCTCCAGACAGACAGACAGATAGACAGACAGACATAATTAGTCAGTGTGAACCCCTGGGTCTCCTGGTCTGTTGGGAAAGCTGAGAAGGTGCCTGCCAGTTCACCACCAAGGCAGCTACATAATGTGCTTGGCTATAGAAAATGCAAACCACTGTCCAATTTGTTCTTTTCCTCTAGAATTAAGGTTTCTGCTGTACAGGAAAAATCCAGGAGAGGGGTTGAGTAATTCTGAGAGCTATTGCTTTATCACCGTTGCTGAGTAAACCACACGCTGTGCATATGCTCTGAGCTTTTTGTCTGTGTTGTTGTTGTTGTTGTTATCACCGTTGCTGAGTAAACCACACGCTGTGCATATGCTCTGAGCTTTTTGTCTGCTTGATATTTAGCCAAAAGACAAGTGGGGTGGGGGGTGGGGGGTGGGCTGGGAGATAGATTGATATTGTGCTGAGGAATCCAGTCTGGTCATTTCATCCAAACATCCATATCCCTTAGCACGTGGAAGGATGGATCCAGCGTTCATCCTGGCTGAATGAAGTGCTCGCTTCCTGGTTTTTCTTTTCTTGCTAGAATCCAGGTAGATTCTTGTGTCTCTTTCCTGTTTTTCCTGTTGTACAGACACTTTCCTCCTAGGCTCTGCCTAGAATACAATCTCAAATATATAGTAGAAACCTTGGTTCGTGTCCTTTTATTCTAACCCTCTTTCTTCAGTGCTCACCTTCTAAACCATCTTTCATCACTGTATGATGCGGATAAGAGTTTCTGAGTGCTGTGTGTGTGCATGGTGGTGAAGGGGATGCCTTTCTCATTGCTATGTCAGTGCTGTTCGGCTGACGTCCATCATGTCCACCCCGTGTCCCACTTGGTCCTGGGCTCGCCTCTTAATCGTTGTTGTGTTTCCTCTCACTGTGAAAACCACCCTACGAATCCATCTACTGGAGGGGCAGCTTCATTTTCACTGACCCCCAGTTTTCCCAAGAACAATGTCCTTCTTCAGGGACCAGTCCCTCCAGATAGTGTCCCTGATACATGTGTGACGGAGTTTGGTCATTCTCATGTCAATTTTTTTTTTTTTAGAAATGATAATTTTTCCAATATTTACATTTTCTAATCATACAAATCTTTATGTAGAAGACATAGAACTTAATCCCCCAAAAAATTATTTCAATGTTCAGTATTTTCTATTTATATACACATTATGTCATTTTAATATCACTATCCATCCCTTTGGCTAGCATTAATTCTAACATGAATGAACGTTAACATCTGACTTCAATGGTATCTGAAGTATCTCTCTCATTTCTAAGCAGCATTTGGGCTGTTCTTCAAGGCGAGATAACTTGTGGTTAGATGCCGTCAGATTGCTCCGTCTCATGGTGACCTTGAGCACAACAGGAGCCAACACTGCCCGATCCTTCACCGTCCGCACAATCTCAGCTGCTCTTCAGCTGCAGGGGTTTCTCTCAGCCCCTTTGAGGGCCTTCTTCTTTGTCACCTGCCCTCCACCAAGCATGACGTCTTTATCCAGGCCCCTCTGATAACATGTCCCAAGGAGACAAGACAAAGTCTCACCATCCTGGTTTCTAAGGAACGTTCTGGGTACACATCGGTGGCCATGTTTGAACTCCAACAGTGGCTGACGGGTGGCAGCTGTTCCCCAAGCAATGTCTGTCCATGGTGCTCGGGACAGTGGAGGCATTGACCTTGTCAACTATATCACCTGTTCTTCTGTCCAGTTTGGAAGCTATTGGGTATTGATCTCCAGGGTCTTCCCTGTCCTTGTCTTTGGGACAGAGAAGGGATATGTTGGTTCCTCTCCCCTCCCCCAATTCTCTTTTCTTATGGAAAAGTAAAAGAAAAGATTCTTTCATTGTTTTACAAACCCTCCCCCAGGTCCCCTCCACCATGCAGCCCTCGCTCTAGTCTCCTGTGATGACAGAAATACCCAGTTACATCTCTCTTTTAAACGGTTCTCTCCCTCCTCTGTTTCAGTGCAGTACACATTATTGAACCCATCTTACTCAGTCTCTCCCCAGCCCCAAGGACAGTCCCATTCTACAACAGTGGCATCATGTAATATTTGTCCTTTTGTGACTGGGATATTTCACCACGCTGTCTTCCTTGAGAATAAAGGTAAAGACCACTTGACATTCATATCCCTAGGAGCTAAGGAATCCATTCCTTTCACTCCCACTGCTTTTTCACATCATTATCCAGCTGTATTTTTTAGTAGATTGGAAAGATGATGACATTAACAGCAGCTAAACACCAAATGAAAAACCAGACCAAGTTCATGGCCATCAAGTGAACAGAAACTCGTAGAGCCCTTCTAGAACCAAGTCGGATGGCTCCACGGGGCTTTTTGCACCATCAGCCTTTACAGAGCGGATTGTCCAGCTTCTTCTTTTGGGGGAACTGATGGGTTTGCACCACCAACATTTTGCTTAGCAGCCCAAAACATAACCCGTTGTGCCACCAGTTGTTGTTGTTGTTGTTGTTGTTGTTGTTGTCGTTGATGTTGATGTGTACTGTGGAGTCAGAACGGACCCATAGCTGACCCTCCAGCAGGTTTTCAGAGGCTGTAAATTGCACAGGAGGAGATTGCCCATCTTTCTGTCATGGAGCAGCTGCTGGGTTCAAACTGCTGACCTTTGCATTGACAGTGCAGTTCCTTACCACTAAGCCACCAGACTCCTACTAAACAGCAAATATCTATAGACCGTGTCTTGTCTTCTTCTGCCCAATTGACTTAAATAGCTCTGTTGGAAGTAAAACAGAGGAGGTCTACTCATTCAGCTGGGTTTTTAATTGCTTTCTTTGTGCTAAGTTTTTGGAGATCCTTTGTGCTAAGAGGTCCCAGTCCTGACAGACGCTGTAAACTAGCTCCTGCACACTCAAAACGGACATTCCTGTGGGGGGATTGTGTTCAGACGGAACACAAAAGGGGGATCTTTGTTTCCTTGTACTTGAGGTCGATGACTTACGACTGTAAAGTAATTAACCTTGTAAACAACATTATTATGAAAAGGAAGGGAACACCAGTAAATTCCTCTGCTTTCACTGGTGACTAATCCTATACTCTCTTTCTCTTCTTCCTCTTAATTGGGAAGCTTTTAGATTCAATAACTTTAGAATCTGAAAGTCTGCGAATCCCACCACGCACAGTTAAGTGGCAGGCCATCCTCTCCTATTGCTTTGTTACCTAAAACCTATCAGGAAATGGGAAACAAAGTTGGGGGAAAGTATTTGTAGTGTCAGGGCCACAACTTATGGAAAACCCCCTTATTACTCCTAAGGTCCTCAATACCTCGACTGAGACCCACCCACATATAAAGAATAATTTACTTTGTGTAAAGCCACCTGATTTAATCTCACATAACTTCATACAGTGTCTGGACCAATGTTTTGGCCAGATTGTCACCAAAATGACATGTCTAATTGACTGTCACCAGATCTTAACCTGGAATCCAAGAGATGATGATGTTCACAGAGTCTGCGAACGCCTTGAAATAATTTGCAAAATTGTTTGTTCATATTCCTGGGAGAGGAGAACACCTCCCCCAGAAAGAATCTCGGAGTGGTGGCATGCACCCCTCCACTCCAAAGGAGCTCAAGAAGCAGTTTAAGAAGACGATATTCAAAGATGAATTAGAAATTGGCCAACTGGAGTGTTGGTTATGGCATTGAACTTTGTTAGAATCAGTGTGGGGATGGAGATGCCAGAATTACCGTCAGGAGATGCCTTTTTGGGTTGTATTAGACCACAGCCCTCAGCACACTATTGAATTGTTGTGGCAAACTTTGGCAGGATGGCATTAGGGCATAAGTGAAGGTGGATGGATGTAACAGCCCCCGCACTGGCCACTGTGTGACAATCAGAGTAAGGTTGACATTCCTAGACACGTCTATTCATTGTGATCTGTGGAATTAATTTCTCTGTCCTACTGCAGAAATTTCCTAAATGCCTCTTTTGTGTTTTATCCTGATGATTATGGGGTATTGCGTGATTGATTGTTATTTCCCTCCTTTTGAGGGAATAAAGGTTTAAAATCTGAACACACAAGCTCCTTCTCCCTATCTGTTGTTGCATGAATGTGCTCAAATCAGCTTATTAATCTCTCTACACAGACAAGAGAGTTGTGACCTCAGAAACACTGTGAATTGTTTTCAAGACTGTTAGGTCCTCGTTACAGTGTTTCTGTACATAAATAGTCATAGGGTAAAAATCAATGTAGTTCTAGGAACGTGTCACATTCAGAATTTATAGTTTACTCTTGAAACCTAGGCATTAAACTGTTCCTGGGAATAATTGTGTCCATGTGCAATCCTGATTTGTGCTGTGAATACATGTGAGGTTCAAGTTCACACAAGCAGACCCTTTGGAGTGCTTTGACTCTCTTTGGAGCACTTTCAAAAGGGAACTCTTTTTCTCTCACAAACCTGGATTGCTATTTGCATTGCACTTAGTCAAGGACCCTTTTTAGGTAACATATTCATTAGTGACTAGAAAATACGTGGATAAATGTCTTACCCCCTAACCAAGACTTTGTGGGTTGTGGTTTCTGTAATACTCCTACTACTGATGCTGTTGTGTTTGAACATTTATTTCCCCTTTTGTTACAACTTGCGTTGCTTTACTGTTTACATTATGTTTCTATAAGTCTTCTTCACATTCTCTTCGGATCTGAGTACAGACATACGTCAGTGGGGAAGGATTGAATGACACTAGTTCCACTAACCCTTTTTTGGGAACATCTTTTGGGTGTTTTTATTCCTTATCAACATCCTGACTCCTGCTTTTGTTTTTATCTTCCCTTTAGTCCATTAAAGAGGACTCCGTTTCCACAGGTTCAGAGGAGAATGTAAGTTTTGTGATTCATGGCAGAGTCATTCCACGCTCATCTTTGGTGTGTGTGGCCAGCGTTGTTCTGGGCTGTGGGGACCTGTGGACACGCATGAGCCACGTGCTACCCATCTGCTGTAGACGCTTTCATCCTTTCATGCTTCAGGACCTCGGGGCAATGCCGCTGGATGAATATGGCAGCTCCCATTATTATCTAACTCCACGTGGCAGGAGAAACCTGATTTCTAGGGTTTCTTAAATGGTAAGCTTTATGGGGACAGATTACTTGATCCTTCTGAAGAGCTGCTGGGTGGATTTGAACTACCAACCTTTTGACTAGGAGCCTAGTGCTTAACCATCATGCCACCTGGGCTCCTTAACTCCCACTGGGTCCTTGGAAAAGAAATACAAAATCAGAGCATTGACTAATTTGTTTTCATTGAGGGGCTGAAAGAGTCTACGGAATTATGAACCACTTTGCCGTGCCATCACCTTCACTCTGTCCTGATCACTCTCCCATCGTTATTTCCACAACTACCTAGATCCTCTAACGTTGGGTGCTCCCCCGGGTAGACACAGCCTCAGGGGTGTGGACATCTGGCTGCAATAGATGTCGGGGCTCTTGATCTCATCTCAGGCTGGAGATTTCAGGGTCTTTGACCTTTCCAGAGGATGGTTTGAAATGTCGAGAAAGAATGCTTCTATCTTAAAGGAGTGTTTCCTTTTGAAAACCTACCGGGGGGGAAAAAAAATGTGTCTTTAGAAAAAAAAATCTTCCAGAGAGATTAAAGACTTTTTCTTATGAATTTCAGACCCAAAATAGTAGTCTTTTGCCCCAGAGTGTGGCCTTTGGAAAGATTTTTTTAAAATAAGAATAAGTGAATTCACAGCTTTTTGAGAGAGAAAGCAATTGTTCCTGGTGTGCCAAAGTCAAGTAAAGCTTTAGCTTTTTTCTGAGTACTTCTGCTGACTTGGCCCTAGACAGAACTTGTGTTTTCATTTTGATCCCTCAGAAACTAAACAGATGTTGAAACTCCAAAACTGTGCCAGGGATGTTGTCCATAGAGTGGAATGGAAATGAAAGCAGAGGTGTGATTCTTTGTAGGACAAAGTTTTTTGAAACCTGCTATTTAAAATTGTTACTGTTGTTATTTCTTTTTCTTTTCTTTTTTTTTTATCAAGTGGACCTCACACCCAGGAGCTCAGAAAAGCGTAGGTCTCTCTTAATTCCAGAACATCCTTACAAATTCCCTAATTTCTAGAGTCTCAATATCTCTACTTATTTCAGCAAACTGAAAGGGAGAACGCTATCGACCTCCTGTCCCAGTATTTTTCAATTTAAAAGTTACAGATTAAATCCATGGCATCTACTAGCTTTGAGGTTCTGAATTTTTTGAAGAAAAGCTTCATTCTGGGCATTAATGTCTAGTCATTCTTCTCAAGAAAGCTGTGCCTCCTATAACCCGTCAGGTACAGAGGGGATTTCTGTTGGGCAAATGGGAGTTATTTTGTTTTCAGTGTGAAATTTAAAACAGAGGTAGAAGCACCAACTGAGAGTTCAGTTATTGACACCAAAAGATAACACAAGCAGACAGAGGAAAGGACAATAGAAGGGGGGAGGGCAGTATTTTTTCTTTTATATTGGTTTGCATATGTTGTTATGTGCCGTTGAGTCGTTTGCGACTCATAGCGACCCTATGTACAACAGCCCTAAACCGTGCTCTATCTTGTGCCAGTCTCATTGCCTCTGACACACCCATCCCGATTACCCCAGTCACTGAATCAATCCACCTCATAGAATAGAGGGTTTTCCCCTCCTGTGCTGTCCCTCCACTCTACCCAGCATGATGTCCCTCTCTAAAGACCTGTCTCTCCTTACAACATGTCCAGAGTATGTCAGACGAAGCCCCAGAATCCTTGCCTCCAAGGAGCAGCCTGGTTTAATCCTCTCTACGATGAATCTATTTTCTTGGCAGTCCATGGTACATTCAATACTCTTCTCCAGCACCACAGTTCAAAGGTGTCATGTGTATGGTTTGCATATAGGATTCTTATATATTGTTTCATTTACATGCCTTGTGTTTCCCACATTCCTTCATTCACATTGTGTTTAATACAATCATTGTGTTTTATAAAATCCCTCCTCATTGATCTATGCCTCCCATTACCCTGTCTTTGTGGTTGTTGCCCTTGTGTGTCATCAAATCAGAACCAACCCAGAGCTGACCCTCCAAGCAGGTTTGAGAGACAATAGCACACCAGAGGAGAGTTCCCATCCTTCTCCCATGGAGCTGCTGGTAGATTTGAACCGTGTACTTTCAAGATTGCCATAAAGATTCTTAACAGTGGGCCACCAGAGCTTCCTGTATTTACAAAGGTGTTTTTTAAGGAAAATACAGAAACATCACAGTAACGGCTTTAAATTGTTTAGCCTTACGAATGAAGCTTCTGGTTTTTACATTTTTTTTTT